CTCTACTAAACTGGACAACTTTGCTGTTAGAAGAAGAGAGAATGTAATGTCAAGCTCTGTAAATTGCAACTCCAGACAGGAATTGTCTGAGACTGGGTTGCTGTATTGGGCAATTAAAAGAGCTTTTAAAATGGGGTCAAAAATCTTCAGTGTTATTAAAAAGGTGCAGAACAAATCCAAATTTCACATTCACTGAGGAAATAGGAACTGAGCTGGAGGATGTTAAGCCCCTCTTATTTGGAGCTTGGTTTTGGTGTCGAGATACGTGTCCTGGTTCCTGGCTCAGGCCCTTTAACGTCACATTCCAGCTGCTTGGGTTCCAAAAGTTTACTTGCTGACAATATTGCTTCCTCTACAAAAGGGCTCTAAATGAGAGACATCAAAGACGAGGTTAAAATGAACCAGGACGAGAACTTGAGGATGAAAAAAGGAAGATAGTGAAGAAATATCCTAGATTTTAACAGTGCCTGCCAGCTTCCACAATATTAGATAAATTCACCACCATTCCATAACATATACAGACCTGATCTTGCAGGGTGGTGAAGTTTCACCTTCGACAGGTAACTGGCCAGCTCCTCCTGAATACCACCCGGATCCACATGGCTCTCATATTAATCTGAAGTATGAACACCTGCAGTATTTATGCTTTTCATGTCTTTAAGTAGAAAGTGATTAGAATATTTCACAGATTGTGTCGATATACCATGCAGCAGCCTGCCACATGCCGCGTCTTGTATTGTGAAAAGTGTTGTGGGGGCAGGAACAAGTTACTCCGCAAACGCTGTTGAATTCTTTGAAGAAATGGCTGGATGAGATCCTCAGAGCAATTCGCTAAAAAAACGAGCTAAATGGGTCTAATGGCCTCCTCTTTTGTGACATTTCTCATGTTTGCATGAGGCTGTTTTGTGAAACTGAAAGGAACAGGCAGTCAAGGGGTTACAGGCCTCCTGGGGGGTCAGTTCTTCCTGCCCAGTAGAACATATTTTACCCAGCTTAAACCATGTAAACCATTTCTTTTCATCAAGGTGCAGCTTTGGTAACCATACAACTCAACCTCTGTGGGACGCGCGCCATGGGCCACGTGACCTCTGTGAGTTGTGCGCCAAGGGCCGCGTGACCTCTGTGAGACGCGTGCCAAGGGTAGCGTGACCTCTGTGAGTTGTGCGCCAAGGGCC